GTTATACCGAGAAAGTTACGGGAAGTTGTGCTGCGTCAACCCATGATAGTTTAACAGGAGGACATTTCGGAGTTAAGAAGACATTGAGTCACCTACGACAAAGATTTTACTGGATAGGTATGACGCAAGATGTGTAAGAATGGTGCAGGACCTACAGTACATGTTGTGCTAAAAGGGGACCCAAGCATAAGGGACGTTTTGTAGACTGTCCAAGGCATCTACAAATTGATCCCTCAGCAACAACATGAGGAGATCGGGTGGTGCAGTTGGGTAGGCCATGTGTGCCATGCTTTCCAAGTCCTATGCCAGCTCTCCCCTTTAGCACGGACTCTCGTCCTAAACCTAGCCCTGTAGACATCACTCTGATTTTGGATTCCATACCTGAGATCTAGAGCAGCTACCAGTGCTCTATGGTTGTACCTGTCGTCTGCTGACAACTGTCCAAGTATTTCCAGTGATTATCCCTTCAAGCTCGTTGCCAGGTACACTGCCTTCTGCTCCTCTGTCCATCCATTAATTTCTACCAGGAGCTCAAATTGTGCTCTAGATGCTTCCCATCGAATTCCTGTGGCTTCCTTCGTACTAGATCACCCTTATTGCTGACACTCGTGTCTGAAATGTGATTTCTGACAGCACTGAAGATGTCTGCATTAGGGTTTAGCTGCGGGGTCTGGAAGGGGCTTCCCGTTGTCTGAGGCTGATTAGGTCGATGGCTAATATATCCTCCTTGTGTAAAAGACAGTAAATCATCCTTTAATGCATTTAGTTCACTTTGAAATTTACTAAGCTTTTGGCCACTTTTTACAAAGTTTATACAGAAAAACAAACGCGCACTTGTGCTAAGCGCACGATGACGCGGTTTGGTATATCATTATTTACCATTTTCTACACTGACAGTATATTAAAAATCACCCACAAGCCACTTCACCATGCTTATTTTGTTGTGACTGTGTGAGCTGCTGGGAGTGTTGTGGGAAATATTCTTGGAGCAACAGTTGGGTCTTTTGATGAGTGCCGAATTCAGGCTGAGTGTAATCCATGCCATTGCATGGGGGTCCCAAATGGTCAAAATCCGGCCCTACCTTGATTAGAAGAGAAGAACAAGTAACATGTAGAGTATCTAAACATTGTTGTTGCGTTTCAACCTTAACGGACTTGGGCTCATACAAAATAATAAATCTACGTGAATGCACTGTCCAAACTTAATTCGGTGAGGCCCGGCATGGCCAGGTGGTTAGGGTGCTCGACTCGCAATCTGCGGGTTCGAATCCCCGTCCCACCAAACATGCTCGCCCTTTCTTTGGGTTTCTGTTCTTCTTTTCTATATACTGAACTCTTATATGGCCAGGTGGTTAGGGCGCTTGACAGTGTATGAATGAATCCATTCATTTAGAGCGAGAATCATTTTGTTTTCAGCATGTATTTTATCTTTTTACGAGATTTTTTGAAGTAATTAAAACGTCAAGTAACATAATTTCAAACACTGGTGGCCTGGCATGGCCAGGTGGTTAGGGCGTTCAACTCGCAATCTGTGGGTCGCGTATTCGAATCCCCGTCCCATCAAACATACTCGCCCTTTCAGCAGTGGGGGCGTTATAATGTGACGGTCAATCCCACTATTCGTTGGTAAAAGAGTAGCCCAAGAGTTGGCGGTGGGTGGTAATGACTATCTGCCTTCCCTCTAGTTTTACACTGCTAAATTAGGGACGGTTAGCGCAGATAGCCCTCGTGTAACTTTGTGCGAAATTCAAAAACAAACAAACAAACTTAATTCGGAAAGATGATGGTGATTTTAGTTATCTTCCTTGACCAGTACGGTCACCGAACTCTTACCCATTTGAATATTTTTAGCACGAGCTTGAATGTCGCATTCGTTCCCGCGATGTTCTGAACCCCAATATAACTATATTCATCGGCAAACAAGCCGCAATCAAACAAAACTTATTTTGTTATTTTGCGGAGGCTAGGATATTACCAAGTGAGAAAAATGATAAAATAAGACATTAAGTAGGCTTTCCAATCTATAGCAATATCATTGTAGTATAGCGATTTAAACAAAATGTAATACCATAAATACCCGGGTGTGTTTCTCTAATCCATTAATTCAAACTATAAGCGTCTCAAATAATTTGAAATATTATTTTCATAGTAACAGAATTTGAAATAAGGGTTTCTCAACTCATGATCTACATTAGCGGCCAGGCAATTTTTTTCGGACCCACGCTCAATTGGGGGGTGGGCGTTGCTGTTCTAATACATTTAACTAAAAAGTGCTTTTATATATATTTTTTTGTTTTTCAGAAAGTTTGGGATGGTTATTTATTATTTGATAAATACTTTAAAAACTTTTTAGTTATACGCCCTCGATCTTATCTCTATGTCAATGGAGAAGGGATATCAAAAGAAAACGTATTTTTAGCAGCTGAAACTCGTGTAATTTGTATATATATAAAGCTAATGTTTCGTTAGGAATTATAAATATTACTATGTAATTAGGCATATCTATGCTTTTGTTTTATTAAATAACTACGTTATTTTACACAAAAACATTTTTGTATTGATGTGCACCCTTAAAGTTTGTTCTACATTTCTATAAGTATTTAAACAATTTCAATAAACACTTATTTTACAGCAATCTAATACCACTCTGCACAAATGACTCCTTTCATGTCTAGAGAAGAATTTAATAAAGAAAAAGCAACACTTAACTGTGACCACATTATTTGAAATATTAGGTATAGAAAAAGTGGAATTAAATTTTTCATTGTTTACTTATACTAAAGACAATAATTGTTTTAATATTACGTCTTTAACTTCATAAATCAGTTTCATAAGATTTTTGGTATGAAAGCTTTACTGTAACAGAATGAAAGGCACGTGGCAAATTTTTCTCAGAAAACCAAAAATCTAATTATAAGGTTTTTGTAAATAGAAATTTAACTGACTTCCTATGATCTTCGGAGGGAAAAATGAAAATCAAGTCAAGAATACTCTAGCGATATTCTGAAATTATTAATAAATAGCGTTACTTAAAAAGTAATATAATGATATATTATAAATAATACAATGATTGGAACAATTCATTTTTTCTGATAACTTTTTAACCTCATGCTTAACTTGGGAAAAAAATCCCTTACCATTATCAGCACTGTCATATTTCATTTTTAAACAATTCTGCTGAGAATATTTAAAGATCACATTTACTCCATATCTTCCTTTAAAACTGATATTATGCAAGATTTATTTATTTATTTTTTTAATTTCGCGCAAAGCTACACGAGGGCTATCTGCGCTAGCCGTCCCTAATTTAGCAGTGTAAGGCTAGAGGGAAGGCAGCTAGTCATCACCACCCACCTCCAATTCTTTTACCAACGAATAGTGGGATTGACCGTTACATTATAACGCCCCCACGGCTGAAAGGGCGAGCATGTTTGGTATGACTGGGATTCGAACCCGCGACTCTCAGATTGCGAGTCGAGTGCCTTAACCACCTGGCCATGCCAGGCCTATTATGTAAGAGTAATTAATCATTAGACACACCTACAAAATATATGGTAATAGTACAACATTAGTGATAGTTCTTCTTCTCACCAAACTTTTTTTGATATAGTTATTATTTTAAGTCCTTTTATTAATATTAAATTCAACAATATCTGTATTATTTTATTTAAGCAGAATTTTGTGCAAAAACATAAGGGCTCTCTAAACGTTGCATTTCCTAATTTTGAATTGATAGATTAAAGAGAGAGCAACTTGTTAATAGCACCCACTGCCCTAAAGTGTGGAGTACATTTTTCTGGTGACAGGTTGCAACCATGAACTCAAATTTGCAGTCATTCTGGATGGCTAACCTCTAGGCATGTTTGGCCCTCATTAAATATCAAACTAAAAAAATGCTGTCGTGTGTAAGTTCCAATCAGTAAATACTTTTCAACGGGATTTCACTTTCCTGTGTATTTTAGGGCTGTAACTTTCACTTGCTCAGTAGCACAAGTCTTCATAACAGATGATTATATTTACAAGTATTCTATCTTGTATAACTGGCTGGCTATTTTTTACCCAATCATAGGTTAAAAATGCTTATTAGTATGCCACCTTTTCTATTGTCAATTTTTTATTCATTGTAACCTAGTTTACAGCACAAATACTTTTATTTAAGTTCATAACAAAATGTTTAAAGCAAAAAATTACACCATCTTTCTATTATATTCTAAATCTATAAGCAGAGATGATTATGTTGTCACAAATTCTGCAAAAGAATTATTTTAATTTTTATGAAAGGAAGATTTAAAAGTTAATAGTCCAGTATTTTGCGTTTTTAACTAACACTACCTGTAGCTTTCTGCTTTTCCAAAACAAAAACTTCAACTCAAGAGTTGAACACAATATTTAGGTTTAGCTAGCCATAAAGATGCGTATATATATATATATATATATACTATATATATATATAATATAATAATATTATTATTATTATATATATATATATATATATATATATATACTACTAGTAGTAGTATAAAAGACGTACTACTATTAATAATATATA